GTTGGGCAAACGATGCTTCTGGAGATCCCCTCAATAATTCCAAGGCATAACATTTGGCTCTCAAAGCTTGAGAATATAAGATACTAATATTGAATCGAGCATTCATGTCAGTCATAATTTCATGTCTCTTATATACCCTGCCATTCAAAAACATTAACTCGGCCAGAAAACCACCCAACACCTTTTTGTTTGCCTGTCTATGGTGAGGAAAAATTGGGTTCTTGAACATGAATGTTTATCAATAAAAGTCCTAACTTGAAACATTTCGCAATCTTTTATCCTCTTTGCAATCATACGCCACATATAGTTTTTGTTAATCATACACTTTGTTTCAAAACGATCTTTGCTTGATTTGTTAACTTTTAGTTGATAGCCATCTTCCACACATTTTGTATACAAAGTTATCTTCAAGTCTTCCTTTGTATCAAAACAATCATCTTTCTTGATACGAATAACTTTTGTGTAACAATCAACTGTTATCTTTACCAACTCTTCTTCCGGTATCTGAAGTAATTCTGGCATATTCCAGTTATACTCCCGTGGCATTTTCTTTTTTTTCTTTTCTTCAGGGACTTCTTTTTCTTCTTCATGGTTATATGAATTACAGAATGGATGTTCAACATGTTCATTCACAGTCGTAACTTCATCCTCATTATTATCAACAATATCTTCCTCGGCAGCGGCTGTTTCATCATCAAAATTTGGGTATTGACCAATATCAAAATCATTACACGCAGGGTCTGTTTCTTCTTCTGAAACATCATCAAAATCCGAGTATTGACCAAGATCAAAGTCCGGGTATTGACCAATATCAAATTTCGAATACTGACTAGTACTCACAATTTTTTCTGTTGGCTCATAATCGTCTAACTAGTCAATACGAAAACCGAAATTTGGTGCTGAAAGTTGATTGGGATTTGGATTAGGAAAAGGTTGCGGGTTTTGAGATTGTATTTGATATTGTGTTTGGTATTGGAAATGTGGCGAAACAAAATTTTCTTGGTGATGAAATTGTGGTGGAACCATTAAATTTTGAGGTTGATAACAATATTGTGAGCACCATAAAATAGGGTTGAAGAACTTAGTTGATTACTACCCGCTACTGACCCAACTTCACTACTTTTAGGTTCAACAACATACAATGTAACATCATCTTCTTGCGAAACACTAATGTAAGCAATGAATCGTTCAACATCTTCATTGTCGGTTAACAAATAAACTTTACCTTTTCTTTGATAAGATAGTCTAAATCCACTTAGAGGCTCTAAATTCAATTTATTTGCAACACGTAACATTAGAGTTTCATAAGTTAACTTTTTTAATGACAGTTTTAGTTGAAGATTCATGGGTAAAGGCATATATTGTAAAACACCATGAACATTCTCCCATGACCCTCCAAAACATAAATCTATCCAAACATGATCAACATTAGATGATTTCATTCTACAAATTGTAAATTAATTTACTAAACAAATGAGCTATAACTACATATCATCACTAACTTAGAGAAAAACATACCTTTATTAAGTTGATAGTTGATAATTTGGGAGAGAAATCATTGAAAAATTATATAGAAATAAAATTAGAGATGGGGAAGGATGTCGTTGGATATAGGAACGGATGTCGCCAAAAAGAGTGATAGATGGAGATGAAATGAGTTACGATTTAGGGATTTAAGTTATGAGTTGTTGCTGCTGCGTAGTTATATACCCAAAACATTTGTGTTTCGAAACTAAAACCTGTTGCGAATTCGAAAATCGAGTTGCAAAAACAAAATTCGCATTGCAAATTCAGAAATCGAGTTGCGAATTTGGAAATCGCAACGCGAATTTGGAAACTGAGTTGCGAAATTGGAGTTCGCGTTGCGAATTTGTTGGTCATTTTCGCAAATCCAAAAAAATTTGGTTAAAATCGTATATTATAAGGCATTTTCGGTCACTGGAGTTATTTTATCTTTTATATTTCCTTTAGCATCAAGTTGGCCATGATTTTCGCATTGACAATTTTATGTGCACACCATATACTGGTCGATATAACAATGAGATAGTTTGCGTAATAGTTATTTTGAGTGAAAATGAAATTATCGAAGAATTTATGAGTTTTAGAGTGGTGAAGGTGAGATCGTTGATGGTGGGATGGGGAATTTTGATTTAGGGTTTGAGATCTTGGTATAATTTTAATTTTCGAAGTTAATTATTTTTATTCTAATTCTATGTTCACAAATATAAATAAAATAATAATAAATATCACATCATATAAAAATATTAATAAAATAAGTTAATGATTAAAGCAGGAGTGATATGAAAAATTAGTTATTAAATTGAATTATTTTAAATTTTAATGACCAAAATAAAAATGAGAAGATAATTAAGTGATGAATGATATATTTTACTCTAATAATAATAATAACAATAATAGATTTCCAACGGCCGACCGGTGCAGACGCTCCAAAAGGCTTCTCCTCATTTCTCTCATCTCTTTTCATCAGATCTCACTCTTCTTTTCCCTGACCCGCTAGTATTGCTTTCCTTTCAATTCACTAAATAAAATTTAAAAGACAAAAAAATTCAATTTTTTTTTTCAAATTTTGATAGAATTTTACTTTTTTACATTTGATTATTAACATCGAAGCTTTTGAATTTTTTTTGTCTAGGGTTTGTTTGTTTGTTTTGTGTGATTCGATAAATTTCATATATTATCATGGATGCTCCACCTGCAAGAGCTCGTGCCGATTACGACTACCTAATAAAGTTCTTTTTGATCGGCGACAGCGGTAATTATTTATTAGGGTAAAATATAGTAATGGTCACTGGACATTTCTAAAGCTTGCATTTAGGTCCCCCAACTTTTAAAACTTGCAATACAGTCCTCAACATTTAATTAGTTTGCAATATGGTCCCCGCACTTATGAAAATTAGGGTAAATTATATAAATGGTCACTAAACTTTTTAGGTACTTGAATTTAGGTCCACCAACTTTTAAAACTTACAAAACAATCCTCAATTTCATTCTAAACCACAAATTCCAAAGTAATTCAATTTCATTCTAAACCCTAAATTCTAAAATAAATCAATTACATTCTAAAACCCAAATTCTAAAATACTTCAATTTCTGTCTTTTTTTATAAACGACGCCAATGTCACTAAATTATTAATTAATTTACTTTTTATATTTAAAAACATATCATAATTTTTTAATATTAATTTAAAGACATGAAAATTTTTCAATAGTAAGAATATATGATAATAATTCATTTATTTAAAAATAAATATATTTCTAATTATTTGTGTATGTTTTTATATCTAATCATACATGTTAATATATTTTATATTTTTCATATAAATATTAAGACTACATAAATAGCTGAGTCAAAATTTAATATATGAGTTATGTTAATTATAATAATGATGTATAAATATATTTTATATTATTTCTATTATAATTAAAATATAAATATTACCATGATAATTAAATATTTATTTACTTATTACATCGAATATTTTTTGTAGAAAATTTATTTAATAAAATCATAAAAAAAACACAATTAAAAAAATAAACACTGAAGTTGACTACTTCAAAAATAAAATAAAAAAATCAATAATTTAATATAATATACCCTAAGTTGATGATAACAATTAATTCAAAAGAGATGGGGTTTGTGCCATGTTTTCGTAACGTACGTAAACTTTCTATTTCATGGTCACGTATTCTTTTAGTTCTAGCACGATCTATTTTTTAATTTTCTAATACACTTAAAATTATATTATAACTCGTTAAGTGGTTTCATAGGTAAAAAAATGTTATTTTCTTTAAAATTTTTAAATTTAAACAATTGTGTTTGTAGGGTATATCTATATTATTAAAAAATTAAAAAATTTAATAAATATTATCTTATAATCACATCAAACTATTAAAAAACTAAATTATAATTGAAATAAATAAAAATTATAAGGATGTCAATTGGGGATTTTGATTCTTAATTTTTTCATTGAGAGATTGTGTTTTTTTTTATTCAATTTCTTCCATAATCATTTTTTATATTTAAATTATTAAAGGTCACTAAATTTACATTTACGAGGAGGGAGTTTATTTTTTTTCTTCACAAAAGTAAAAAAAAAAAAAACGCTATCACGTTCTTAAAGATAATCTAGTATATTCCACCTTAAATTGAAACATTTTAGAATTTGGGTTTTAGAATGTAATTGAATTATTTTGGAATTTAGGGTTTAGAATGAAATTGAATTACTTTGGAATTTGGGGTTTAGAATGAAATTGAGGAATGTTTTGTAAGTTTTAAAAAGTTAGGGGACCTAAATTCAAGTGCCTGAAAAGTTCAGTGACCATTTATATAATTTACCCTAATTTGCATAGGTGGGGACCATATTGCAAGTGGATTAAATGTTGGGGGACTGTATTGCAAGTTTTAAAAGTTGAGGGACCTAAATGCAAGCTTCAGAAATGTTCAGTGACCATTACTATGCTTTACCCTATTTATTATCCCTTCTATTTATATTTTATATTATGATTTGAAATGCGATCTACTGAATGTACATTGCTTTTGCGAAATGTTGGCGTTCGTTGAAAGGATTTCATTGTTTTTTGCTTAGAAAACTAGGTGTGAGACCGTGATAATTTGTTTATCAAGATCATTACCTCAGATTAAGCTTCATATTAGGCTTATAGATTACCTTACGGAGATTTTATTGCACTCGCGAGGTTGATTGGAAAACAGTGTATGTTTTTTTTATGGGGAACCTTTGCTAAATTGCTATCAGCAATTTTCTTGTGAATATATTTGATAATGTATTCTGTCTTATTAGCTCATTGCCATGGGAGTACTATTTGTCTCAGTTAGTGTTTGATGATTTCATATGTTGGATCCAGTAGCGTGTATATTTGCACGAGAGAACCATTGCTCAATACAGGCCATCACTGTGACAATTAGTTGTACTTGCCTGTAATTTGTTACTTATTTTAAGGAGTTTTCTTGGTATTTTGCACATTCTTTTTGAATCTTAGTTCTGAATCTGAATAGTCTGTTTACTTATTCTATTGTGTGGCCAGGTGTGGGTAAGAGTTGCCTCCTTTTGCGTTTATCGGATGGCTCATTTACTACAAGTTTTATCACAACCATTGGGTAGGTGTTTTTTGAATTGTAGCAACTTGTCTTATTATTATTATTATAAGTATTGTTTCTAAATGAGGCATATGGTTTAATAAGTTTGCACCTTATTTTGGCAGGATTGACTTTAAGATAAGGACCATAGAGCTTGACGGGACAAGGATCAAACTGCAAATTTGGGATACTGCTGGGCAAGAGAGGTTCCGAACAATTACAAGTGGTTAGTTTTTGGGTTTGAAGGAGTCACTGACTAGAAATGAATGGTCTATAAAGAATTACAAATTATTTATTTGGTGAAATAATTTGATAGCATTACTTGGGCATTGCTTTACTTTAGCCTTTTAATTGCCATTGTTGTATGGTGCGACTTACCATTTATTCTCACTCAGATATTGTGAAATTCAATATCAGCTTGGTTCAAGGTGGATGTTGTTGCTTTTCTATTCTCCTCCTCTGTGATTTTTTTGTCTTTGGGAAGTTAGCAGTTTATCTGCATCCATGGTTCACACGCTTTCTAACCCGCCCATTGTCATACTCTTGAATTGTATGACAGGAGATGCTTAGCCTTTCATATTTTCTAGATTCTTGATTGAAGGTGTTGATATTAGTGTTATTTCTGAGGGTGTTTGAAAATTTTGCCTCAACATAGTATTTTATTTTGGTCTCTCAGAGTCTACTTTCCAATACATCCTGATTTTTTGTCTTCCGGACTCTTGTATGGTTAACACACGAATTAAGTATTATTTTCTTTTCGTGCAGCTTACTATCGTGGAGCCATGGGTATCTTGCTTGTGTATGATGTGACTGATGAGTCATCTTTCAATAGTAATCACTGAACTTTTATCATTTGGATTTTCATACATTAGCTGTTCTATCTTATCCATCTCTGAATCTTTAGAAATGTTTATGTTTCCACCAATTCCCATTCATCATTCAAAACTTTCAGTTTCCTGGAAGGTTGAAACATGAAAGTATATTCCTTATCCATTGATTTGAAATTTTATTCTTTTTTCCATTATAATTATTTTATCGACTGCACTAATATCCTTTTATACTCAGACATTCGAAACTGGATTCGAAATATTGAACAACATGCATCAGACAATGTCAACAAGGTTCTGGTGGGTAATAAGGCCGACATGGATGAAAGCAAAAGGGTATATCTCTCTCTCTCTCTTCCGTGGGCTTTTCGCTTGTTTTTGCAGTTACCCTTCTTTTTGGCATATTGGCCTGGTTTGGTTGCTTGTATAGGTTGTTGAGGAACTTATTTTTTAGGCTGTCCCTACTTAAAAAGGCCAAGCTCTTGCTGATGAATATGGCATCAAGTTCTTTGAGACTATGTAATTGTTACTCTATATTTTTCTGTTCCCTTTTATGTTTTGTGATCTTTTCTATATGCTGAAGAGCCACCCTATCTTGCGGAGTGCAAAAACAAACTAAAATGTCGCTGAGGTGTCGTATCTCGTACTTTGTCATTTCCTTAAACCTATTTTTAAAAAAACAAGGTCCTAATGTCACCTCCATTGCACGTGATTTTTACTTGTTTATTATTTTTTGCTTGGTTTTTCAAATTTTTGGTGCTTAAACATATTTCAAAACTCTAGTTCTTAACGTGACATGCATTGCACGTGTTATTTCTTTATGTGATTTTCCAAACTTGTGCTTATATTTATATATATATTGAAATGTCTATCCAATTCCTCGTTGCAGCCAAATGCAATCAAAATTAACCCATAAGATCAGGCCGAAGGATCTGCAGCGAATGCTCAAAAATCAGCTTGCTGTGGGTCTTGAACAAAGCTACGATTGACAATGAGCTCTGAAGGGTACATTTTCTTCTCTTGGGAGATTTTTCGGTTCGGGAAAACTAATTTCATCATAACTATATTGATTCGTGTTTGTATTCTCATGCTTATCATTATTTTTTACATCTATTTCTCTTTTGGTGTTAAATGTTAGATCCTTAATATTGAGCAGAAATTAATTACTTCAGATTCTTTTCCGTAGATAACATTGTGCTTGAATGCAAACTGTCTACCGTTCTGATATTTTTAGTTGTAGGCTTGTAGTTAAGAACCTCTCGATGCCAATAATCATTGCATTAGAGCTTGGTCCACTTCTCATAATTTTTAAAATTTGTGAGCGATGTAAGCTGTCTAACATTATAACGATATAATGTCAATTATGAAAAGTGGACTTTTCATATTATTACTTTTAATCATTCACTTTAAAGATTCATTAAAGCAGCAAACCTACTAATAACATTATACGTCAACGATTAAATTTGTCAAAACTTAAAATAAGTAAATTAAATCTTACATCTCAGCATAATAGATCAAAACCATAATTGTAGGTTTCTTCCATTTATTCTTTTGGTTCACCAAGAGTGAAGCAAAATTTAGATTTCATCCTCTTCAAGTAGTATCGACAACATGTTGCTGAGATACAAGCAAAATACACAAAATAACAAGTGTATCCTTGTCGAGGCATTGACTCCTTTATAACAGAGTCCTAGCCCACATTAAAAAGAAGCAAAAGGCACCATGTTCAGTTAGTGGCGCCATCACCATTGACAAGCATACACGTCTCGTAAAGAAGTTCACTTCACCATATGCACAAACCTACCTTGCAAATGAACACAATTGCTTTACGAAAATTGTTTCATTTCATCCCTCCCATATATACGTTGAAGTTCAACAGTGGCAGCTAAAAATGACTCTGAAAAAGAAAGTAAGGTGCCCTTTTATTTTAATCGATCACAATTACTTACTAAATGTAGTTGCAAGATAAATGATGTTAGGGGATTTATCTATAGCAACTCAAGTTCGGTGGGATTAAAGCAATTTGAGTTCAATAGCTTACATTTACCTTTCCAAAGCCGGAAGCACTTCTGGTTAACAGGTGAACCGGTTATAGTCTGAATAACGTCGAATAGCATATTCTGCGGTGTGCTTCTAAGCTCTTGGACGATCCCATAAATTGTCTTCCCATTGTCAAAATATATGTGATTGTTTGGATGTTTTGTTTTGCAACCAGCATGTCGCTCAAATTCATATGCATTGATCACCTATTAGAATGTAGAAACCCCGAACGTCAAAGCATGCATACTTTGCCTAAACAATTCCCTAAATACAAATGGTAAAACAGAGAAACCCCACCTTAGAAGAATTGCATGTCTGACAGCCACATTGATATCCAGAACTCTTTATTATGCCACGGAGCTCCTTCTGAAGTTCATAAAAAGAAGCAGGCGTATAACCAGACAGTAAGGTAAAATAAAAGAACACATGAAATGAGATTTTACCTTCTGTGACCACGCAATATATTTGACTGGAACTCCATCAAGCATACCAGTTGACAGCAAACTTTTAACATTTGATGGGAAGTTATTTGAAGCAGCTTTTTTCGATGTTTTTGGCTCATCTTTCTTCCTAGAAACTTCAGCTCCAGAGGCAATGACATTATTGGATTGAACCAACCCTTTTGCACTAGGAGCATTAGATCCTTGGACCAAAGACTGGCCCATCAACAAATTATAGCTTGATATAAAACTCCCCGATAGATTTGTATCATCATCATCATAACCACCAAACGATATAATAGTACTTTCTCCCCTACTATAGGAGGGGCCAACTGTCAAATTATAGCTGTCCCCCTTCTTGTAGTTATGTGTAATAGATATGGCACTGTCATCTCCTTTACTGTAGGCCTGACCCACAGTTACAGAACTATCATCTGTCCCGTTGTAGGTTTGACCCATAGACATGAAATTGTTATCACCCTTGTCGAAGGTGTTGCTCGTTGTAATTGCACTGTTATCCTCAATTTTTCTATGGGATTGTCCCATAGACGTGAAAAGACTATTCTCTCTTTCATAGGTGTCACCAATAGAATCCCCTTTGTTATAAGGAAAGCCCATCGGCATAATACCATCTTCCACCTTGTTGTAAGCATGATCAGTTGACACTGAGTTATTATCAACCCTATTATACACATATCCCATTGATTCAGACATGCTGACTTTTACCTTCCTAATCCCTCCAAAGTTTAACCCTGACCGAGGATCTTCCAGTGTATGAGACATAGATAAACCAAATGATGAATCACTTGTATATAGATCTTCATTAACCTTTCTCCCCATGAGAGTTTTCTGTGTGTTACCAGATGAGAAGCTTTGATCATCCAAGTTCACTGTTCGAGCTGTTTCGGTATTGAATAACCGTTCAGCAAGCTGCCCCGAGATTGAAGTAAAACCAGATGCATTTCCCCATGGAGAATCATTTGAATTCAAGATACCAGAAAACAAGTTGGTAGTTGGAACTCCAACTGCCTGCTTCTTGTTAGGAAATGAGTCTGTCTCGGCACCATCCATGAACCATTGATTAGAGCGCTTGCGCTTGGGGTCAACTTTAGATGAAGTATCATACACCATCTCGCCATTGCTTAAGCCAGAACATTTTTTCGTCCAAATGCCCTCATTCTGGAAAGACTGTTACATGTAACAAATTCCTAATCAGAGACCGTAAGGCCGTCCAGAAGAGAATAAAAATAACACTCAAATATTTTCAATGATCTAGTATCAAGATTAACCACATGGCATCAAAGATTATAAGAAAAGAATTCCTGGAGAACTTCAATAAGGTGAGCTTTTTTTGAATCTATCGCTTTACAAAAAGCTCCACTAGGCACACACAAGCATGCAGAACCCTTAAGGACGTACCTTGTCTAGTGCTAAAGCACAGCCCCTATAGACGCACTTGGGCACTCTTACTTGCAACAAACACATGATTTAGCTAGTAGAAATTAGAAAATAGTCGATACGACAAATTTTTCACTCTTACACATATGTATCTAGTTCATCAGTGCTTCTCCACCCACATTATTCAATTACAACTATTGAGAAATAGAAAACATGCAACAAAAATAAAACGATTGAATCAATCAAAAAAGGTACACAGTATCAAAAGTACAAATCACTTGAGCCACATTCAAAACATACCATTTTGAAGCTTTACTTCAAAGTTTGCTTCCACTTTGCTGTAAAAGTTCAACAGTTAAAAACTCTATCTTCATAACAAGTCAAACATGCATCATATTAAATTAAAATAAAGGATCAAATTTACCACTTAGCAGAAAAGAAAAGTTCAGTTCAGCCTCGCTGGCTGAAGCAGATAATGTAAAATTTAGTGTCAATCAATTGAAGAACACCAAGAACAAATAATCCTAATATCTCATAAACTGTGTAATATTAAACCATGTTCAGAAATTTATTACATTTCCAGTGCTAAACACTGTGAAGTTCACTAATCAAAATAACATTTATTTGAAAGTAAACAAAAACTATAAAACCTTTCGAGAAGACAGTTTTCGCAAATTTTAAGAAACGGATAGCAGAAGGGGGAGCAAAAGAGAGATCTTCATTGTGTAAAATACCTGCAATGAGGTGATTGATTACGAACGCGATGATCGGTGATTGGATAGAAGAAAAACTTTGCGGCAGTGATTGATCGGAAACCGAACCGGCGATCGTACGGAATGTGATTGTCGCGAGATCTAGAGAGGGTGGAAAAGATTTTGAGGTCTCTGGCGGAAGAGAAGATATAAGATGGTGCCATTGTACGATCACATTCTGTGGGGCCTCAATCGGATCGTACACGTGTACTTAGGTTTCTGCAGTCTGATTTTAATCTCAATCTCGATCTGTGTGATGGTTTAAAAAAATGGGATAATTAATTTAAGGGTAAGCTACACCTATTGGTCACCACAATATTACTTCACTCCTATTTTGGTTATCATACTATTTTTTATGCATAATTGGTCACTACAGTTGTTTTCTATTTTGATCATCGAACGATAAATATTTATTAAAAAAATATGATATGATATGGTGTGATCATAATTTTGGTTTCCAAAAATTATATATACTACCAATTTAATTATAATTTTAAATAATTTAATATATTTAATCTTCTAATAAGATACTGACACGTGTTATAAAGATAAAAGTTCAACGCTTAACTATCAGTATAAATTGTGTAACTAATACATTATAAATAATTTCAAATTGTGTAATTAACATATTATAAATCAGAATAATATTTTCTTGACAAAAAATAAAGATAATATTTAAGTTAAACTCCAGTTGAAACTAATAATTAAATAAAAGTTAAAAGAATAACACGTGTCCTAAAAGTAAAAGTTAAGCGTTTAACTATTAAGTTAAACCGTGTAATTAATACATTATATATTTAAGTTAAATTTCAATTGAAACTAATTACAAGATGGAAAAGGATGGTTAAGATTGGAAGAGACTAAAATTTAGATATATGGGTAAAGGTTCAAGACTTAATCATTGAGTTGATCTAGAAATTTAAAAACTAAGATCTAAAAATTTTAATAATCATTTTTCAACAAAATGAGTATATATATATATATATTTTTCATTCGTTTAATATATTAAACTATATTTAATAATTATTTGATTAAATTTTTAATTACTTTTATATATAATTTTATTTTTATCATTTAATATTTAGTTTGTAAGCTTCAATGATTTTAGAGAAAATGGGTGATTGATATGATTAATTTATTTTAATTTTTGTAAATTTTTTATTTAATTTTTTTATATTTTGTCTCTATTTATTTAATAAAATTGTAAACGCAATGATTTTACTAAAAGAAACTGAATGTAATACACTAATATTATTAGAAATTTTATATAAAAAAACTACCAATGAATTCGGTTCCAGAAACAAATTAAAAATTTTGGTTAATGAAATGAAGATTACAAGCGTTTACAATCTGGGAATAAAATGTCAAAAACAGATATCAATCTTGGGAGCCTTGTTTCCAAACAAAACTTGCAAATCATTCTCCAATGGCGTCAAATTCAAGTCCAAATTACACGCAACCCTCCGACTGCTATTCGATCTCTTCAACACCTGCACCGCCGAAACAGCCGGAAACGGCTGAGAGACGGTTTCGTTCACGGTGGGTCTGTGCCTCCTCATATGGCCACCCAAAGCTTGCCCCATCGAAATCTCCTGGCCACAAATAGAGCACTCGTGCGTCTTGGGCTTCGTGGATAAACTAAGGAACGTCTGTGTCTCATCGTTCGCTTTCTCCGCCGCCAATTTGGGTCTCTTATGGCTGGCACGGTGGCCGCCCAATGCTTGGAACGATGAGAACCGCCGGTGGCAAGTTTTGCATTCGAAAACCTCGTTGTCGATCGAAGGGTTGGGATTCTTGGTCGTTTCAAAGCCTTGAGACAAAAGCATCAGACATTTAGCAATGTCGAAACCCTGAATATCGTTTCCGTTTTCTCTTTCTCTCTTCATTACGAACCTGAATATTAAAACCACTTGGCTTCTCTTCTTCTCCTTCTTCCTCTTTTTGCTGTGGGTTATTGATTGCGTTGTGAAGATGGGAAACACTGGGAGGTGCTTTAAATAAGGAAGGAAAGTCAACTGTGAAGCTGCGATGTTTGACTGCAAACTCATTTTTCATTGGCGTGTAATAATATAAAAAGTAAGCTAAATTTGGTCAAACACGAGGAATTTGGAAGTAGTTTGCTTTCCGACACGTTGGCCTAAAACAAAGGTCACGTGTGACGACTGGTAACGGCTTAATAATAGTGACTCTCACTGAAGCTTCGGCTTCCTTTTTGTTTTTGTTTTAGAGAATCTTATATTAGCATAATTAATAAGATTATTTAAAAAAAATACCATCGATAAAAGAAAACGTTAGAATGATGTTAGAAATTGTATTTTTACACGTGATCCAAATTTAGAGCCGGTGGATCTGATAAGGAACAGCAAAATGTATTTAAAGTCTGATGTTCGACTAAACTGTCCTAACTACCTATTTATAGGTGTATCTTATGTAATTGTTTGATCGTTTGGTATAAGATAAGTGTATTTGGGTAAAAACCATTTTACTTCTCGGATATAGTGTATGATTGATAAAAAGTTTAATTACATTTTTATACTTAATTAATTTGATAATCTCAGTGTTTCTTTTTTATTTTGAGAATATAAGGGTGTAAATGATTCGGATTTTAATAAATAAGATTGTGTTTTTGTTTGTTTATTTACTTTTTAAAAGATATTCATATTTGATTCATTTAGTATTTGTGAACACATTTATTTAACGTTAAAAATATGTTTGTTTGTTTATGTTCCTCTTCAAATAAAAATGATGAAACTATGTCATATAAGGACTCAGGTTTCAATATCTGAACTCTAAAATTCACCTTACGTAAAAAAATGTAAAAAAGAAAAGAAAAAGAAAAAGGAGAACAAGGTTAATAAATTTATAAACGAGTTTATGATAAACAAGCTTATATAAACGTATTTTTAAACGAGTTTGCTCGTGAATATAAAAAGATCGAACACATATCTATTCGTGTATGTTCGTTTATTAAATGAACATAAAAAATTTGCTTATACTCACATATTTAACTTAATAAACTAACATTATACGAACGATTCATGAACTGTTCAACAAAAGGTCGAACACATATCTATTCATGAACCGTTCGACTAAAGAAGAATAATCTCATGTTCTCAATTTTTTTATCCAATTATAATTTAGGTCATTGTAAATTTAAATATTAAATAAATTATACATTATTTTCTGAATTTTAAGTTTAAATATCCAATAAGTCATTACATTTTTTAAAATAATATTTCGACATCTACCAATATTTAATCTCGACTTCGTTGATGGACAAATCCTCTATTTATTTACACCCATATTCTCGATCATTTTCAGATCTATTAGTCCAATAATGTAAATAACTGGATTTATTATTATTATTATTATTATGTAAGTTGAAGTCTGAATCACGAGCCTCAAGTCCTCAACTCAACTGCTCCGAAGAACGCTTAAAAAATACCAAAAGGTGAGGGTCTAGAAAACTGATTTTTCTCACTGCTTGAAATCTTCAATGTTCAAATTCAAACACTTGTTGCTGCCGCATAGTTGATAATTAATGGGTTTGTCAACCTTTTGCAAAGTTTCAATTAATATGGGCCGCAGGCACCCGATTAGTTTCGATCTTTGTTTTCCGATGGCATTTTTGATACTTTCTAGTTAAGCATGGTCAATATTCACTAACTGTACTTCAAAGACTGCAGTGAGAACGGGGAAAATGTCAATCATTACAGGCATGCAAACCTGCCAATATTAGATGCGATATGGCCGTAAGATTTAAACAGCCAAATTACGAACCCATCAACCTATCTGAACGATTAAAGAAAATGTTATTATTCCTTATAAACATACTTAACTAGTAAAAAAACAGTCAAATTATAATTAAACATTAGAAGAAATTAGATTATTTAATTTTAAAAATATAATATTTTATTAAATATTCAAATTCAAATTTTAGAAACGTAAGATAGAAGTTAATTAATAAACCCTAAATAACACATGATATTAAAATCCCACTTATATTCTACAGTTAATATATAAAATGATTTTTATTAAAACATATGATAGTAATATGATTAGATATAAAGTATAAACATAACAAGAAGGCAAAAATTAGGAACAGTCTCCCAAAACATATTTGACTTAATAATCTCCATTCAACTTTGACATGGCAACAAACAATAGACGTTTCAGCCTAGGAGCTACCTAATTTCGACCTTTTCCCTTGTTCCACATCTAGGATTTTACTGTCTGACCGACACCTGCCGTCACTTAAGATATCATAATGACTCATCAAAATAGCATGGAAGTCGAAATTTCTTACACCAACCCACGATGTAAACATAACATTTTGTTATGATTAAGTGTTTTAAATTATGAGATGTCATTTAGGCTAAGGACTAATCCGTAAGGTTTGGGGAAGTATAGAATTAAAAGTGAGATAATGACGTAGTTGCTTTTTGAAATTTCAGTAAAGAAGAACTAAAGGATTATTTAGCCAGAAAATTAAAAGTCGGTGGAAAAGAGAACATGCAAACCGTTGGATCAGGCATACATATCTTGGATCATTCTTCTTTTGGACATGTATTGTTTTTGATTTTTTTAATTTAAGGGGTAAGGATAAATAAGATTGACATGAAATTTTATGTTAAGAGATAAATTTTTTAAGTTTTAAGGGTTCACAAACTTATAAAATTTTAATGAGTGAAAATTAATTTTTAATATAAAATATATAAAAAAATTAAAATATATGGTAATTTTAAATTTTCAGGATTATTGCTTATGCGTGCCCTTTTGATCTATCCCAAGGAAATGAACTAAAGATAACAGGAAATGAAACATAGAGAAGAATAAGCTTGGACGGGGTTGAATTTTTTTGAACTTTTAGTTAGAATAAAGTTAGTACATTTTTTTTTGCATGTAGCGTTAACTGAATTTCAACAATAATTGAGACAAATTATTTATTAGTGGACAGCTGCAGATATCCATTTTTATCTGAATTAAAAAAAAATATTATTTATTTATTTATTTATTTATTTATTTATTATCATTACTAGTATTATTATTATTATTATTTTTATTATTTTTATTTTTATTTTTTATTTTTTTGTTGCAGGCCCATTTCCAACTACCCAACAACCCCTACTATTCCACTCAACCACTAAATTGTGCAAGCACAACGGTACACGGGGGGCTCTCTTCTTCGGAATACCATCTTTATTACTTCACCATTTTGAAACATCGAATCGAAGTAACACCAACCAACAACAACCCTTGCCATATTTGAACCACAACGCACCACTTCTCTCCTCCCTTGTCTGTAATATTTGCACAACAAACATCAGTGTTTTTACAGGCAAAAGAGAGAACAACAGTAAACATGGGAAAGACAAGAGACCATTTTTTTTTTCGAGGGGATATTAGATTGCATCCATGAGATCACCTCCCTGGCTTTGCCTGGGATGAACCAGTCTGCATACAGAGTGCAAACCACTGCTCGTCTCGCTCAATGGAAGATAGATAATCTTGCCTCTTGCACTTACCGCAAGTCAGATCCTTTCAAGATCGGCAACTGGAACTGGCACTTGTCGGTGGAGAAGAACAGGGTTCTCTGGAGATCGAAAATCTTTCAGTCATCCAGAAATAATAGACAAGAAGCTGAAGAGCAGTGAAGATTTCGTCTGGCTGATCGAGGTTCCTTTGACAGGGAAATTCATTATGGACGTTGAATTTCTTGATCTCAAGACTGCATCTCCGAATGTTGGATGTTAACACAAGACATGAACACGGATATTGTCATTAATGCTTCGAATGGAAGCCCAAGAGGAGGACCCGAAGCTTCAAGCTTTACCATCTATCTCGCCGTACGAATGTTGCAGGAGAAATCGTGCATGTTGGAGCTGGAGTCAACAATTTCAAAGCTGGGTTAAAGTTGTTGTCGTGCTTGGTGTAAGTTGTCATTCTTGTTTTCCTATTTATTTATTTATTACTTGCTCAAGTTTTATTGGTTCAATCATACGTATGATTGCTGGGACTGTTCCAATAATTCAAGAGTTGCAATTGAAATATATATTATAATAACATTACAAGTTTTTAGGGACAAATTAATATTTATATTTTTATCTAATATTTTTTGATTTTTTGGGGGAAATTTTTATCGATCAAAGGTAATTATTCGAATTGAATTTTTAAATTTCAATTTAAATTTTTAATTTTCGTAATTAAAGACAATTGGTAAATTAATTGGTACCGAAAGGGCGGTTCAAGGGTGCTAATCATTCATTGACCGTAAGCGACTCTCGAACCCGACATATTTCTGGTATAACACAGATCATGTGAGATTGTATCCGATCAACCTAAATATTTTATTTAAATGATCGGTGACGACTCTAGCATTTTATTTAAGTCGAAGCCCAATTTCGAGCCCAACCTAAAGACGACCGCGACAGCTTGGCGACTCTGTTGGGGACAGGTAAGTGAGTCAGGCCAGAATTAATTTTCGGTTATCTTTTTATGCGAAAATAGTAAATTTAAATTTATTTATTCGATTCCAATTATTTACCTTTGATTATTTTTCAAATAAATAGTTGTACGAACGTTTTTCTCAATGATTTCATATTTTTGAAAAAAAAATCATCTCATGCTCTATACTCGAGCTCCAAACCCTTTTTTAAGTGGGGTGAAAGCGACACCTTCTTGAGAATTTTTTCTCCGCACAGGCCTAGCAAGTAACCTTCGGGATTCATATATCTTATGTCTTCGTGTGAATTTACTCAACGCATAGGCATAAGGGAATGTATCATCTCGAGTTTAACTTAGTCCATATAAGCTTGTAATGAGCTTAGACTAAGGATCTGGCAAGCCCAAGGGGGTACCAGCAAGGAGAACCTGGGTACCTTTTTAGAACCTAAACCGTGAGAGTATAGGAAATTAGAGCTCACCCCAAAACCTCATTTCAAACCCTGGTTTGCTTTGATATTATA